CTCTTCCCAGAACTGGCCTATCCTACAACTAGAGACATTCATTTCCTAAGGAAAAATGTGCAATATAAAATATCAACGTTCTCTAAGATCTGCCGTGAGAAGGTCAAATCAGAACCATGGACAGCCTCCAAAACCATCCTCCTTCCCATGCTTAATGACTGCCCGCTGCTCCTCAGCTGCCTCCCTCTGGCTGGGCCTCTTCTTGCTCAGCATTCTACAGCAGGTCCAGCAGAGAAGGAACAGCAGTCGAGAGTGGACCGTGTAATGTTTCTACTCAGCAGGGTTAGAGCAGCCCCCCAGTCTCTCCTCTACCCACAGGGAAGAGCAGGACAGAAGACAGGAGGTCCCAGGTCCTTGTCCTTGATGGGCTGAAGAAGGACGTTCATGGTCCACTGTACCAATGAGGCAACTATTATCCCGTCAGATAAGCAGTTGCATCTTCCAAACCCAATCTGGCCATCTAGCTACTCAGGATCAAGCTATGCTCAGACATTTCTTTCAGGGACAGCTTTCAAAAACCACAAGTCTAAGAACAAAGAATGAGTTTGTATCTCCTGCATGCAAAGTGGAAAACCTTATACACACACAGAATGGACAGTAGCCTTTATGGAATATGACATAAAAGTGATACCTGCTCTAATACTGTGTCTAAAACCCTACCAATCACAGTGTATTGGGGGGAGGGGGCATTAAATATTGTCCTTTTTGGGTATTCACTTTTGTTTATCTTTCTTTTAAAGTACATCTCTTGCATATATATATGCAAATATATATATATATATATATATATATATATATATATATATATATATATTTCCCTTTTTAGCCTCGTTTTTTACATAGGTAGTTCTCAACCAGGGGTGATTTTCTCCCAGTGGGACATTTGGATTTCTCCCAGAGACAATTTTTGTTGTCACAGCTGAAGAAGTGTTGCTGGCATCTAGAGGGTAGAGGCCAGGGATGCTGCTAAACATCCTATAATGCACAGGATGACCACGCACTACAAAGATTCTCCAACCCCGAGTGTCAGTAGTCCAAGAATGAAACACTCTGCTCCATACACATTTCCTTCTCTCATAGCAATGTTATCATTTTGTTTGTATGTGTTCACATAGAATCTGCATTGTAGGGTGCATGTATTTTTAATTTATGTGACTAGTATTATGTTAGATCATCTCACTCTACCTTATGGTTTCTACTCATCACCCTGTTTTTGAGGTCCATTTATATTACCACATGCACTGTGATGCATTGCTTCTGGGTTCTACATAGAAATCCACAGAATGCATCGCCACATTGTTCCCAACCATCATCTCCAGCAAGGGATCCCCAGGCTGCCTCCTACTCTCTACCATCATAAACTTTGCTACAGAGAACATCCTTGTGCATGCTTCTATATGGCCCTGAGTGAGAACATCTGTGGGGTAAATACCAGGAGTGGAACTGCTGGATATCAGGTAGGTGTATTGTAAACTTGACCAGATATTGACAGACAGCTTTCCAGAAAGACTTTCCCAGTCCGCACTCAAACCAGCAGGCCATGATGCTTCCTAGATCCCTCATTTAAAAGGTACTCTTCTTGAAAATGCACATAACCTATGCTAAGATTAGCATATTAAATCACCATTACCTTCCATATGAATCTATCAGACCATCTTCCTCACAGGAAGTAGCTTCGGTGGCCTGGGTGTCTAGGCTAGAAAGGCTTCAAGTAGGGGATGTAAGTAGAAAGAAAAGTGGGAGGACCCAAAGACAGACCCTCTCCTGCCCTCTGGGAGAATTTTCCTCACTCCTGAATTTGCTGCCATTCATTTTAATGGATTGTTTGATGTCTTCCATTATTAAACTTTTTTTAACTTTTATAACTTCAACTTGAAGGGTGTTTTCTTTTTCCATAAGCAGTCTCAGCCTAAATCAAGGTGAAAAAACCTATAGAAATAGAAGCATGCAGGGTTCAGACTCTTCTGAGAGGCGTACATGCTCATCATGGCACTGCTCCTGCTTCCTCAGTCATTCAGCTCACCCGTGGGACACAAGGATCAATAAAGCGATAGAACCACAAATAACACAGGCCTATCAGCAATATATTAGCAAAGAGTGTTTAAAAGCAACTTCTAAAGAAGATTCAATAGCATTCGATTCCAAAGTTGGCCAACTCCAATGTCCTGAAGCTCAAGTTCATTCCTACCGAGTTAGCAAATGATGGACAATAAGCCTAACTGTCAGACAGATGGGCCTGGACTGCTGGGAAGACCATTTGGGGATGTCAGAGAGGTTGGACTGACAACACAGAGCCCCCGGGTGGGTCTTATGCTCTCAATGGCAGTGCTTTTGAGGGCCAAATGTCCTCAGAGGTGGGTCAGGACAAAATCTTCTCTAGAATACATAGCTCCTTGAGGTAAGAGAAGGGATTTTGCAAAACCCCATTACGTTCTAATTTTTTTTTTTTTTTTTTTTTTTTTTTTTTGAGACAGAGTGTCACTCTGTCGCCCAGGCTGCAATGCAGTGGCACGATCTCGGCTCACTGCAACCTCCACCTTCTGGATTCAAGTGATTCCCCTGCCTCAGCCTTCCAAGTAACTTGGACTATAGACATGCACCATGACGCTGGCTAATTTTTGTATTTTTAGTAGAGACAGGGTTTCACCATGTTGGCCAGGATGGTCTCAAACTACTGACCTCAAGTGATCCACCTGCTTCAGCCTCCCAAAGTGCTGGGATTACAGGTGTGAGCCATTGCGCCCGGCCTCTAATATGTTTTTCACCTCAGAACAAGGAGTAGCCACTAGGAAATCCCTTTTTGTCCACTCCCATGGGTCATTAGGCAACTGAGCTGAGCCCTAAGGTTCCCAATGAGCTCCAACCCCCTGGGGGTTTATGACCAAAAGCAGAACGCCTGCTCTCTGCCAGGTATTGGACTTGATGTTCAATCAGGCAAAAGGTAAGATATATATAAACTACTACAACTGGGCCTCACACACGGTGTGGGCTCTCCAAGTGATTGCTATTCTTATTGTTGATCATCATAATTGTCATCATGATTATTCAATCCTAGATTCTGAGGATTCAAATGTCCGTAAGACAAAGTCCTTTCTTTCAGGGAGTTTGTAGATAAGTAGTGCAGAGACATATAAGAAACCATTAAAAAAATAAGCATGTAGAATAATAAATGAAAGTTATAAGTGCAGTGGAAGAAACAAAGGCCTAGAAGAGAGAATTCGGATACTGCATGGAATTGTAAATGGGATTAAGCTGCAAAAAAGAGGAAATGCTGATGGGCACAGTGGCTCATGCCTGTAATCCCAGCACTTTAGGAGGCCAAGGCAGGAGGATCGCTTGAACCCAGGACTTCAAGGTTACAGAGTGAGATCCTGTAAGCAAAGCAAAGAATAAAGAAAAGAAAAGAAGTAAAGAAAAGGAAATGGTAAAGGAGAGGAGGGGAGGAGAGGGGGAGGGAAGGGGAAAACTGGGTCCCGTGGCTTACACCTGTAATCTCAACACTTTGGGAGGCCAAGGCAAGGAGATCACTTAAGCCCAGGAGCTCCAGACCAGCCTAGGCAGCATAGTGAGACCCCATCTCTATAAATAATACAAAAATTAGCTGGGCATGATGGCACATGCCTGTAGTCCAAGCTACTTGGGAGGGTGAGGTTGGAGGATTGCTTGATTCCAGTAGGTTAAGCCTTCAGTGAGCTGTGATCACACCACTGCACTCCAGCCTGGGTGACAGAGTGAGACCTTGTCTTGAAAATAAAAATAAATAAAAGAAGAAGAAATGAGGAAATGCTATGGCCTGTGGTGGTAGCTTTGGGCTGTGTCTGCTTAGATCTTGATTTCCCAGAGTTTTCTTCCCTGCTTATTTGGGGGTTCATATGAACATAAGAGACATTTTGCACAAGAACTGGAAATCAAAAGTAAATCAGCAGGCTTTTTTTTTTTTTTTAATCCTAGGAAGCACAGTGCAGGGCACTGGTGACTGGTGCTGTCACAGATTACACGCGCTGTCCCCAACCCCCTTGCTGGTGCAGGGCAGCAGTCCACCCTGCAGCTCCTGCCCTTGCTCCTCCTTTAGCTGCTCCAAATCCTGGTCTGGTGACAGCAGCTCCATGAAGGGTGCCAGCTTTTTCTGTAGCACCAGCATCATGCAAGTTGGCTGTCAGGAGGCAGGGAGGGGCAGATGTGGATTCCAGCTCTTCCGCGGCGTTCCCAGTCATTCTTCTTCCCCCCAGTTCACATTCTTTGATTGCTTGTGCTTTTGCTGCCATATCTAAGATCCCCTAATCCAAGATCATGAAGAGTTACACCTGTTTTCAAATTTTATAGGTTTAGCCCTCACATGTACATCTTTGATCCACTTTAGTTTTTGTATATGTTATGAGGTAGAGGTCTAGCTGTTGCATATTTTCCCAGCACCGTTTGTTGAAAAGACTGTTCTTTCCCCATGCATTGTCTTGGTAGCTGCACTATTCTACATTCCCACCAGTAACGCTGAAAGATTCCAATTTCTCCACATCTTTGTCAACATTTGATATTGTCTGTCTCTCTGGACATTATAGCCATCCTAAATGGGTGTGAAGCCTTATCTCATTCTCATTTTCATTTGCAGTTTCCTAGTGGCTGACAATGTTGAGCATATTTTCATGTGGACATTGATTTTTAAAATAAACTTTATGTTTTAGAACAGTTTTAGGTTTGACCGGGTACAGTGGCTCATGCCTGTAATCCCATCACTTTGGGAGGCCAAAGTGGGTGGATCACTTGAGGTCAGGAGTTCGAGACCAGCCTGGGCAACATGGTGAAACCTCGTTTCTACTAAAAGTACAATAAAAGTAGTTGGGCATGGTGGCATGCACCTTTAATCCCAGCTACTCAGGAGGCTGAGGCAGGAGAATTGCTTGAACCTCCGAGGCAGAGGTTGCAGTGAGCCGAGATCCTGCCATTGCACTCCAGCCTGGGCAACAGAGCGAGATTCTGTCAAAAAACAAACAAACAACCAACAATAACAAAACAAAAAAGTTTATTTTAACAACAATAACAAAAAACAAAAACACAAACATTGCAAAGATAGTACTGAGAGTTCACACATACACCATAACCATTTTCCACTATAATTAACATCTCACATTAGGACAGTACATTTGTTACAATTCATGAACCAATAATGACAGATGATTATTAATTCAAGTCCATATTTTTTTCAGACAGATTTCTTTTGTTTTTACTTAATGTTCTTTCCTGTTCATTCCATGTTATATTTAGGCATCTTATCTCCTTAGGCCCCTCTAGGCTGAGACAATTTTTCAGACTTGCCTTATTTGTGACACTCTGGGCAGTTTTGAGGAGTACCAGTCAGGTATTTCATAGACTGTCCTCCTATTGGAATTTATCTGCTGTTTTTCTCATGATTAGACTAAGGCTATGGGTTTGGGGGCTCCCACAGAAGTAAAATCCCGTTCTTATCACATCATATCAGCGGCATACACTATTGACATGACTTACCATTGTTGATGTTGACCTAGTCACCTGGCTGAGGTAGTGCTTGTCAGTTTCCTCCACTGTGAAGTTACTCTTTCCCCATTCCCCTTCCTTACTGTCCTCTTTGGAGGGAAGTCCCTATGTGCAGCCCACACTTAAAGAGTGGGCTATCTTTCTTCTTTTCCACCTTCTGTCCTGCGTTTCCCATCTTTTCAAAATCTTCAGCTCAGCTCAATCCTAGACAGGGGCGAAGAGTTCATTTGCAGTGAACAGAGCCACAAGCTGCTTCCCTTCCTCCCTTTGGCTTTGCCAAGCTTGGACTCAGCAGAAGCAGCCCCACCTTTGTGAAAAGCTACCTGTTTCTATATATCTCCCATTGCGATGGAGACAATGGTGTCAGAGTTCCTACAGAAGTTCCAATCTCAGCAGTTTTGTCCAGCATTCCCTAAATATGCTCCAATCCTCAGCTCAGGAAGAAAAAAAAATTCATCAGATCATTAATGTGCATGCACACATGCACACACAAACACACATACACACACACACACACGTGTGATGTAGAGCAGACCCTCCACAAAATTCTGAAGCAGAAGGAATTATCTTTGATGTCCTCTCTCTTGCCTTTTCAGGCTCTCCCTAGAGACGCCCCATGAAAGCCCCCATCCTGGCCTGTTCTCCAGTAGCCCTGGATCTCTTTGCCTCTCCTCCTTCCTAAACTGGGAAACAATAACAAGCTAATTAGTGGCTGGGATTGTAAACTGTGTCCAGGACGGGCAGAGCGATATGGAGACACCAAACTCTCGCCAGGGGAAGAAAGAGGCCAGGCAGGGTGGGTTGGCAAAAGCAATGATTTTTAATTCATTCACCTATTATTTCTTGAGAACTTTGAAACTTTCCTACCTCTGTGCTTTCAACCTATAGAAAACGCAGTCATCATCGAACAGTGAAAAATTGATTCTGCCTCTAGGAGTTTCTATTTAGCCAGGGGATCTAGAGGCAGCTTTAGATTTACATTTCTATCACATCCTCTCCAAGCCTGATTAAGGTAACCTGTGCTTCCCAATTGCCCCGTTATTTTTCATAGTGGTTACCTTTGGCTTCTCACATTCCCACTCCAAATCCATTTTGGAAATACTAGTCATTTCTCAAAAACTTAGGGAACTTTTTCCCTGTGTGAAGTTTTAGAAAAAGGTTTATTTTCCCCTCCAGGCTTATTTTACTTGGCTGAAGTCACTGGAGACAGCATAGACTTTGCATTTTTATCAGGCCTCTTTCAAATGTGCTGGCACTGCAGTTGAATTTCAATGGCTGCATTCAATGATTTGCAATAGAGACTATCAAAAATGCCCGCTTCCAAAGCTTTCCTGTTGAGAAAAGTCCAGACAGCACAGCATTTACTGTCTATTTATTCTCAAGATAAGTACTCTGTCTTCTTATTCTTTTCACAGATAATTATGAGCACTCTCATTTGGACCCAACATCTGTGTTAACAGCCAAAAACACACAAAAAGTTAATCCACTTTCCTTCAGAAGCTCATAATCCAATTGGGAGTCAAGGTACACACATAATATGGTTAAATAACATTCTAAAGTCATGTGAATGTGTCTGAAATAAGTACTCTAGGACTTACACATCTACAGTAGTCAACTTATGGGACAAAGCCCTCATTCCAACAGTACTGCCATGGCTCAAAATGTGTACATTGGCTACAATTAATGAACCATCCAATTACAATTAATGAAAGATCCGATCAATGGATCTTTCATAGGGCTAACTGCAGTGCTTGTTTAACAATCACAAAAGAAAACCAGCTTGTCTATTTCAATGTTAGAGCTTGGTTTTGTGGTTGCTTTTAATATTATAGCTTCCTGTTTGATCACCCACTTTCTTAAGCTTTGACTAGAAATGACTTTAAACTATAGTCAAAATAATATCCATTCTCAAAGGAGTATTTTTCAACCTGTTTCATTCTCAATCCACCAGCCTCCTGCCATCTTGATTTCTATCCAGTCTAGAGCATGGAACTGAATCTCTAGTGACACTCTGCCCAAGCTCTTAACTCCTTTGCTTCTGTGGGCTTCCATTCCACGCACATGGAAACACCCTTGTCTGGGATTCATCCCACTTTCTGCCTCCTTGGCTTTACACCAGGTCCTCAGAAACTGGGAGTTCTCCTCGGCTTCTCTCTGTCCCTCATCCTTTACCTGGTTGGCGACATTTCACTTGCTCAATATCTCTCAGATCTGCCTCTTTTTCTGTCCCTCTGCCACTGCCCTGGCTCAAGGACCCTCATCCATCATTTCAATGTTGGATCTTTAAAAAGTGTCTTGACTGATCTTTTTGCCTACAGGATGGTTTCTCTCCAGCTCAGTGTCTACATTGCAGCCAGATCACTTTTTCTAAATCATTAATCTGATTTTGTCACTTCCTAAAACAATTCCAATAATTCTCCAATAAACATTTTAGGATAAATTCCAAAGTCTTAGTGTGTCTCTCATGGCTTTTCTTGATCTGAAATCTGTCCATCAGCCCCACCTATTACCATCCAGTCTCCCACTCTAGAGCCACTGACTGGTACCTACAGGCCACAACCACTTGTTTGCCCCTAGCCCTTTATATACCCTCTTCCTTCTTTCTGGAATACCTTTCATTGACTGATGAACTCCTAGTCACCTTTCAAGGCCTATATTTGGATTGAAGGTCTCTCCTATGCCCTTCCATGATCCTTCCGGTTGGAGGTCTACCCCTTGACTTGCTATCGTCCTCATTGCACTGTGAGTTGCTTGGAAGTAAGTGCTGAATTTTACTCCTTTTCATATCCCCAGAATCTAGCATGATGTGTTCCACATAGCTGTACTCAAAAGCGTTTGCTGCATAAGTAAAAGATTTGATGCCATGAGGACATTCAAAAGGAAAATAATAGCTAATACTTATAGAGAACTCACTATGCACTAGGCACTGTCCCAGGTACTTTACATGTAGTATCTCTTTTTTTTTTTTTTTTTTTTTGAGATGGAGTCTTGCTCTGCCACCCAGGCTGAAGTGCAATGGTGTGATCACAGCTCACTGCAACCTCTATCCCACAGGTTCAAGCGATTCTCCTGCCTCAGCCTCCTGAGTAGCTGGAATTGCAGGCATGTACCACCACACCTGGCTAATTTTTGTGTTTTTAGTAGAGACAGAGATTCACCATGTTGTCCAGGCTGGTCTCGAACTCCTGACCTCAAGTGATCTGCCCTCCTCGGCCTCCCAAAGTGCTGGGATTACAGGTGTGAGCCACTGTGCCCAGCCGTGTCTCATTTTAATTATTACAAGAAACTCTGAGAGAGGAACTGTTGTTATCCTCCATTTCATAGATGACTCACAAAGAGTTTAAGTAGCCTGCCCCAAGTCACAGTGGGCTGCAAGCTTTCAAAAGGCAATTCCAAGAGAAAAATTCCCAGGACCGCCTTCCCTCCCTGGTAAGAGACTGCACCAATGACTGCATTATTGGTTACTGATGATGTCACGCTATTTGCAGCTCTTGCCATCAGGTACAGACAGCCTCTCAAGAACACTGAAGTTATCATCTAAAATTACCTGTGCTGAATGATGCTTCCAAAGATCTCTGTTTGAGAAGAATAAAAGCAGCAAGGAAAGGTGGGAGTAGGGTAAAGATGATTCTTTCTAGAGTCAAGGTGACTAAGCCCCAGTTCACAACAGCCAATTTTCCAACTGATTCTTGCCTTTTCCTATATGAGCTGGATGATTGCTCCATCACAGAACCTTAAACTTACTTTGCTCAGGCTTCCTCAGCATAAGGGGTTGGAAAAAAAGGCTTTGTCACAGTAGGGGACTTTCCACATTTGCCAGAGAAGATCAAAATGAGACAAAGGATGAGTATATGTATGCCCCCTACCTTCTCACTCCTCTATGGTTATTTGATTTTCTGCAGATCTTAGAGCTCCAGAGAACTGATTTTCTGACCATTCACAATGCCAGGACATTTTAGTTACAGGTAAGTTGATAAATTCATCCTCTTGCTCTATGTCTGTGACGGGACTCAACAGTGACTGCATGTCAACATATAAAGCTCAACAAGGAATTTTATGAACGTCAACAAGTCTCACAGCTTCTGCCCCCAAGATTTTTCCTGACTCTGTCTACTGCCTTCTGACCTCATTTCCCCTCCCTCCTCATCAAACTTTCGGACGTTCATCTTCTAGCTGGTCTTGTTCCTTTCTCATCTTCCCTCCCTTCCCCTAAGACATTATCCATACCACAGCTAAAGTTAAAATGACAAAGCACGGGTCTGATTATGGCGTTCTCTTGCTCTGAAAACCTGAAGTCTCTTCAGTTGGCTACAGAATAGTGTAAACACTGTAAGTTGGCATCTTTCCTGCTTCCCAGCCTCCTGTCCCACTTCTCTCCTTCTTGCTTCAGCCATGTGTCACCGCTTACTTCTCCCCAAAAACTCCTATGCACTTTCTCAACTCCCTGTATTTTCCCACTGCCTGAGAATATCCTTCTCTATCCCATTTGCCTATTGAGGCACTCACTATCAGTAAAGGAAGACTAGGTAGTTCAGATAAATCCTTCCTCAGGAAATAATGAGGAAATCTGGGTGAAATACAGAAATATTGTATTAAAAGCATCAACAACCCCTAATAAGATGGTGAAAAACTGCTAACCAAAGTGTGGGAGTGGCCAGGCACCTGCAGAGATAAACATCGCTTGGGGAAGCTTTCACCTGGGAGCCTGTGCTGATGCGGAAGAGGTGAGATGCTGGGCTGTGCTTTCGGCAGCATCTCAAAAGTTAAGGGGACAAAAGATAGACTGGGGCCTACCAATGGCTAGGATGCTTAAGGACTGCACTGCAGGCATTTAGATACCTGGAAGTAAATCAGTCCACATGTGGTCATCTGTTCAGCCAAGAAAGTGTCAAACCTTGAGTGTGCATCAAGTTTGCTGCCCAAAGCTACTAGCATCCCCAAGGATTGTGGCAGAAACAAACAAACAAACATCTCTCTGGGGGAAGATAACATCATATGAGGTCATAAAGATTTCTATAAACAGTCTTTCAAACACAATGCCCAGCACACAGTCAAAATAACCAAGCTTCTCCAGGAGTGGGGCAAAACCAGAAACTAACATTAGACTCTGATAACTCAAGGGTACATATTGTACTTCTAGAGTAGCTTCTCATGAATAGAAAAGAAGAATGGAATACTTTTTAACTAATAAGGAGAAAAAAATGGAACAGTAGTATTAATAATAAACCCAAAAGAAGGCAAGAAATGAAAAAAATTTTTAAAAAAAGGGAACACAGAGCAGGGGGCACAAATTGAAGAGCTATTCATCATTCAAGGTGCAGCTCAGATATCCTCTTTTTCCCTAACAATCCCTTATCTCCTCCCCCCAATCCAGTGCTCTCTTCATACTTTATTTAGATTTCTACCATACCATTTATCCCATTGTGCTGTAATTGTTCAAGTGTTTAGTTGTATTTTGCACACCTTGAAAGGAGGTGTTCTGCCTATTCATCTTTGTATCTTCAATGCATAGAACAGGGCTTGGCTCACAATACACATTCAACAAATACATTCTGAAGTAAATTTAGTTGAAATGAACTAACTAAAATAATACTGAGGTGTGATGCTGCTGGAGCTGTCGGTGATTGTTCCTGCCTGCAGAGAGGGGCACCTGGCTCAAGGAGGCTATCACGTTACTTATTTCCCATATAGAGTATTAGTACAAAGAAGTGGTGCTAGTCTTCCATAACAATTAGGTTGGGCACTGTGGCTCACCCCTGTAATCCCAGCACTTTGGGAGGCTGAGGCTGGCAGATCACCTGAGGTCGGGAGTTCGAGACCAGCCTGACCAACATGGAGAAGCCCCGTCTCTACTAAATACAAAATTAGCCGGGCATGGTGGCGCATGCTTGTAATCCCACCTACTTGGGAGACTGAGGCAGGAGAATCACTTGAACCCGAGAGGCAGAGATTGCAGTGAGCTGAGATCGCGCCACTGCACTCCAGCCTGGGCAACAGGAGTGAGATTCTGTCTCAAAAAAAAAAAAGAAAAGAAAAGAAAAGAATTAATATACAGGCCAGGCATGGTGACTCACACCTGTAATTCCAGCATTTTGGGAGGCCGAGGCAGGCGGATCACCTGAGGTCAGGAGTTCGAGACCAGCCTGACCAACATGGTGAAACTCCATCTCTGCTAAAAACATAAAATTAGCTGGGCATGGTAGCTCACGCGTGTAATCCCAGCTACTTGGGAGGCTGAGGCAGGAGAATCAGTTGAACCTGGGAGGTGGAGATTGCAGTGAGCTGAGATCGTGCCATTGCACTCCAGCGTGGGCAACAAGAGCAAAACTCCATCTCAAAAAAATAAAAAGATTTAATATACAAAGAAAATAAGAGATAATTAGATTTCCTTTTGTATCACACACTATACAAGTATAAATGGTGATTCCAGAAACCATCTTCCATCGCACATGGGGAAAGTCACGTGAAAGTGGGGCAGTGCACAAAGCAAAGCAGAACCAAGTTGGTGAGAGAGACAGATCCCTGGAAACCCTGTTTGAGCCTCTGGATTCAGCTATGACTGAATATATATCCACCTTGACTTCCTTGGCTAAGAGCCGATAAACTCCCTTTGTTGCTTAAGCTAATTTGATTTGTGTTTCTGTGGCTTGGAATCAAAAAGAGTCCTAACAAATACAAGAGACTTCTATGAGAAATTCTACATATGAAGGCTTTTGCACTAACTTGTATTGGGATCGGCAACAAGGTATAGATGATCAGAAGACACTGGAACACCGATAGATCTGACTGTAAGGAACATAAAAACTCAGTAACTGATTTTTTAACAAACAGTTTAGAATTCATGCATTCAAATGTGTATTGATTCTTTCATAGTAGCTACCTTGGAAAACCAAATACTTATTCCAACCACTTGGCAAGAACTAAGTGAAAGGGCAAGAGTTTCTATGGAAAAGGCCCCCAAATTAGAAGGAGCATGAGGTTTAGAGGCAGGTGGAAACATGAGAATGGGAAGGATCAATCCTAGGGAGAGGGGATCCCGGGACCATCCCACAAAGAGCAGCGAGGTCCGGAACTAGCCAAGTGCCAGCAGTCAGCTCATTGTCCAAGGACTCTTGGAAAGTGGGGACCTGAGTCTCTGTTTTGAGTCTTGGAGACCTAGCTTTGCTGGGGCCCACCATTCCCTGGCCAAGGCAAGGCCTGATGATGAGTTAGGTTGGAGGGGCAAGGATGCCCCTTCTCATGGGAGAGCTTGGAGACGTGCCCAGACACTGTGGCCTCTGAGTGCTCATGCTGCTGAGAATATGCAGGGCCGACGAACCAACCCATTAAGGCAGATTAGCTTGGGACCAGAAGCATGAGCCCTGGACAGCCCAGAGAGCCCTTGAATTTCCTCCCTTCCCCGAAGAAATGAGTGAGGATGCTATAAATTTCCTTATTCCATTTTCAAAAGCCTCAGTGAAAATTTGCTTCCTCTCTGTGTCCATCTCTTTGACATGTATATACACAATGGCCCTGACAAGAAAAGTCCCTCTCTTGTATGTGAGCTGCCGTCTCTCTCCACACCACCCCCCATGAATGATGATACAATATTTATTAAGGCTTAAATAGCACTGTTAAGTGCACATGTTGATTTAGAATGATGGAGTGTGTCAGTGCACAGAACAGGAGCTCAGCCACAGACCAGGGACCCACAAAGACAAGGAGATACGTCATTAGCTAAAGACCCAAGCTAGCAAATGTCATCAGCAGAGACAAACAAGTCCTTAATTAGAGCTTTCTTTATACCTATTGTTAACACCAATTTTTATAAGTGCATTTTCCAAAATAATATAACATTATATATATAAGGTTAAAAAAATTAAACTGTACACACTGGTATGAAATAAAAAGCAAACACCTATCTGCTGTCTCCCACGCAAGTCCTATACTTTGGAAGAAACTCTCTTAAGCTTTTTTTTTTAATTCTTCTGGTAAGTTACCACCATAATTCTAAACAATATGCATAGATTTCAGTTTTTGGGCTTGCCATGATTAGATAATATCAAGTCACTTGCACTATTTAATAGAGGAGGAATTTAGTTCACTTGCAGTATTTTCAATCATCTCTCTCGATTTTGAGTTTCATTTTATTATTGTATTTGGTTCTTCAATTAGTTGTCTTTTTATTTTTAAATAATATACATAATCCTTTATTTTTGTCCCATCTCCTTTACACAATATCTCTTGTCTCATCCCAAAGTCAAATGAAGAAGGTTGCACCTACACTTGCCCTTCCCCTTCTTGCTCACAACTTGAATTCCCCTAGCTTGAGCATCACGTACACAGTGTCAATCGTTAGACGCACATTCTAGTCTATAATTGCCTTCCGTTTTGATTATAAAAATTGAAACTAGCAAACATTTAGTTATAACTATGTAAATGTGATTATATAATTATTGATCACTATAGAAAGAGTATAATCAGATCTACTGAAAAGGAAATATGATCATATGTTGCTAGCTGACTCTCTCTCGAAGAATGTTCCCAGGAGAAGGTCAAATGGATTCTCTTTTCTTACATTCCATCAATTGCTCAAAACCAGGCCACATTTTTGCTGATTTCACATTTGAACCAAACCTTTCTTCTCTGGTTTTTCAGGGTTTTTTTCTTGGTATTTCAAATTGTGCTTCTTCTTTCCTAAACAGAGGGGGAAAAAATACACCTGTTTCTTTCCCACTGGGCTGGGATTTTCTACCTTTTTCATTGTCCTGCCTGTTAACTGACCCCCATTCTATGCTAGAAGTTTTATTCAGAGTCTTCTGACTTCATATTCTGATTTGAGCCATGTTTCTAGACCTGTTGTGGAAGTGTCCCCCGAGATTCCTCTCTGTTTCACACCTAGAAGCGTGGCACTGTTTCTTGGACCATGGCTGCGGCTTTCTCTCCTAGACTCTGGATGATTGGTAGATAAAGATCCTGAATTCACTCTGAATCCAGCATGGCTGGAAAAGTGCTTATTTCACCTTCATATTTGATTAATAGGTTGGCTGAATATTAAATTTTGATTTAAGATCTTTTCTTCCTCCAATAAATTTAGACTATAATATTTTGACCAGGCGCTATGGCTCATGCCTGTAATCCCAGTGCTTTGGAAGGCTGAGGAAGGAGGATTGCTTGAGGCCAGGAGTTCCAGAACAGCCTGGGCAACATAGCCTGGGTCTCTATGTATTCGCTGGTTTTCATGCTGCAGATAAAGACATACCTGAGACTGGGCAATTTACCAAAGAAAGAGGTTTATTGGACTTACGGTTCCACATGGCTGGGAAGGCCATACAATCATGGTGGAAGACAAGAAGGAGCCAGTCACATCTTACCTGGATGGCAGCAGGAAAAGAGAGGGTTTGTGCAGAGAAACTCCCAATTTTAAAACCATCAGATCTTGTGAGACCCACACACTATCACAAGAAGAGCACAGGAAAGACCCAGCGGGTCCCTCACACAACATGTGGAAATTATAGGAACTACCAGATGAGATTTGGGTGGGGACATAGAGCCAAACAATATCACTCTACAGTAAAAAAAAAAAAAATTTAATAAATAAATAAATACTATAATTTTCTGTCCTCCTGCTTTTTTATGGAAATCTGAAATCAATCATACCCTCATTCTTTTTTTGCGGATAATCTCTCTCTCTCTCTCTTTTCCTGTCTCTCTGTCTCTCTCTCTCTCTCTGGATGCTGCTAGAATGGCAATGTATAATGGAAATACAATGTGAGCAACATAAGTAATTTAAAATTTTCTAGTAGTCACATTAAAAAAGTAAAAAGAAATAGGGGAAATTAATTTTATAGTGTATTTTTATTTAACCCATTTCTGTATATCCAAAATAGTATTTCAACTTGTAATCACTATTTTTAAAGTTATTATTTAGATATTTCACATTATTTTTCTCATCCTAAGGCTCTGAGATCCGTGGGTGTTTTACTCTCACATCACATCTCAATGTGGACCAGCTGCATTCAAGCACTCAGTATCCAAACATGACACCTGGCTACTCTGTTGGACAGGCCCAGTCTAGAATCGTCTCCCTATCTCTGTGGTGCATTGCTTCACCTAGAGATATGGGTCTGTTTTCATTTTCCTGCTCAGAAATCAGTGCACTTTTTGAATTTGTAAGCTTCTGTTTTTCTTTAACTGTTAAGCTCACACTACTTCAACTTATGCGTTCATTTCCTCTTTCCTCCTGTTCTTTCTCTCATCACTTTAATGCTGGATCTCTTGGAATAATATTTTGTCTCTTAATTTTAATCTCATACTTTTCATATTTTCACTATTTTGCTCTGTGCTCTAAGAGATGTTAGCAAATTCATCTTCAGTCATTTTATTACATTTTCAATTTTGGCAATTTTATCTTTAATTTCCAATTACTCTTGTTTGTCTTCTGGAGATTATTTTTCATAGTAGCCTGCTCCTTTTTTTCTTCTACTTCTTGTTTCTTCTTAAACAAAATTTTTTTTGAGACAGGATCTCCCTGTGTCACCCAGGCTGGAGTGCAGTGGCATGATCACAGCTCACTGCAGTTTTGACCTCCTAGGCTCAAGTAATCTTTCAGTTTCAGCCTCCCTTGTAGCTGGAACTACAGGCATGCCCAGTTAATTTTTTTTTTTTTAGAGATAGGGTCTCACTGTTTCGCCCAGGCTGGTCTCAAACTCCTGGATTCAAGTGATTCTCCTGCCTCAGTCTCCCAAAGTGCTGGGATTACATGTATAAGTCACTGCACCTGGCCAAAAAAATTTTTTAATTTACACATAATAATTGTACGTATTTATGGGGTACATAGTGATGTTGCAATACAGTGATCAAATTAGAATAATTAGCATATCCATCATCTAAAACACTTATCATCTTTGTGTTGGGAATATTCGATATCATAGTAGCCTGTTCTTGTTTTACAAATCTAGATCCTGGATCTCTCTGAGGAGTCTAGGAAGATTTTTAAAGTTCTCTCCATTCTTGAAATACATTTTTCCATTGGGTTTTGTTGTTCATGTTAATGTTAGTCTTCTCTTGTGTGCAACTTGTATCCTTCATTGTCTGTTGACCTTGGATTGGCAACATTGGCTACTACGCATTCATCTGCATGAATGAAACACTGAGTTGACTAATATGGGAAGCATGGTGGGCTTCCTCCAAGAAGGTGTACATTTCCACACATGACCTCACCTCTTACCTGATTTGGGATGGTTGTGGTGGCTGACAGTCAACTCAGCTCTTGATACCTGGCACCTCCTTACACCCTTTTCTCCAACCCAGGGCCACAAATTTAAAAAGGCTTTATAGGTGTATTAGTAAGTTTTCACACCGCTATAAAGAAATACCCATGACTGGGTAATCTATAAAGGAAAAAGGTTTAATTGACTCACAGTTCCACATGGCTGGGCAGGCCTCCCGAAACTTACAATCATGGTAGAAGGCAAAGAGGAAGCAAGCGCCTTCTTCACAAGGCGGCAGGAGAGACATAATGTGAAGGAGGAACTGTCAAACACTTATAAAAACATTAGATCTCATAAGAACTCACTCACTTCCATGAGAACAGCATGTAGGAGACTGCCCCCATGATCCAGTCACCTCCCACCACGTCCCCTCATCGACACATGGGGATTACGGGGATTACAATTCAAGATGAGATTTGCATGGGGACACAGAGCCAAACCATGTCAGTAGGGCACCAGCATCCACACAGGGAGCTCTAGCCTTCTCTAGGCAGCTCAGTTCATTCTTAGATACAGCTCTGTTGTGATTTATTTATTGCATCTCTTACAGAAACTAGAATCTCTGGGCTGTTGATGCTGTCCCCACTTTCATTCTTAGTGCCATTATGGATTTTTCATCTTTAGATATAGATATCTTTACTGTCCTTTCACTGGAATTTTGCATTCATCTGCCATCTTGCACTAAAGGATCAATTACCTTTAAGGGAACTATTCCTCCTCCCCTAAAGCCATTGTTACCCACAAGATAATGAACAAGGTTTTGACTTTTGAATTTTATTTTCTATTGCTACTTGTGGCCAGACACAGTGTTTTACACTGATGAACAGTGATCCATCACAACAGAAATTTAAACACACATGGGTATGTTCTAATTTTCCTCTCCGGAGGTTTTTGTTTTGTTTTGTGAGTTGGAGTCTCGCTTTGTCACCCAGGCTGGAGTGCAGTGGTACAATCTCGACTCACTGCAACCTCCACCTTCCGGGTTCAAGCAATTCTCCTGCCTCAGCCTCCTGAGTAGCTGGAATTACAGGTGCTCACCACCACGCCTGGCTAATTTTTGTATTTTCAGTAGAGACGGGGTTTCACCATGTTGGCCAGGCTGGTCTCAAACTCCTGACCTCAAGTGATTCACCCACCTTGGCCTCTCAAAGTGCTGGGATTACAGGCATGAACCACCATGCCCAGCCCAGAGTTCTTAAATTGAAACTTTTTTAATGAGATGTGTAGAGATATGACTCCTGTCTTCTCCCTTAATGATCAGTGTTTGGTGGAATTGAGAAGTGAGGGTTTTTCTGTAATGTGCCATCTACAATAGAGTGGGAAAGCACTGGTCTAATGGTGAAGGGAAGTGGATTCCAGTATCTGCATAGTCACTCTCAGTTCTGGCGATGGCCCCCAACACTGTGCCTCAGCAGCCTCACCTGTAAAGAGGACATAAACACCCTTCCTGCATGTCTCACAGGGCGGATACGAAAAGGAAAAGAGCTGGTGTGCTGACACACACTCAGTACTCACTGAGTATTCGTTCATTGATTAAACGAAGGTTTCAAGGCAGGGATATCTTATTAAGGGTGTGGCTGCTCTGTGGCTGAAGGCCATCAGAGTTGATCAACCTCCTTGCCAGCAGCCAGCTTGGCATGCAGAGTGGACCAAGCTCTGCCATCTCTCCCAGAGGTCTTTCCAGGATGATTTTGGTGATCACTGCAAAAGCAAAGATACACTAATCACCCTGATCTGATCACTGTACATTATATGTATGACATCATCACTACGTAGCCCATAAATATGTATAATTATTATATGTCAATTAAAACTTTATTTAGAGCAAAGATAGCCCTGTTCATTGGCCTTCCCCAGCTTGCTGGCCACTGACCTTGAGAAGCCAATGGTTTCTCATAAGATGGAAGAGAAACAGGAACAGCTTCCTATGTTAATATACCATGAAGGCCAGGGAGCTGATGGGAGGCTGGGGATTATGAAGGGCCTAATCTCATACTCTTCATTCAGACACAGGGGACCAAGTGGCTCTGAGAGGGAAAGGATGTGCTCAGTTAAGTGACAGAGCCAAGACTAGAGTGTTTTGTACTTGTGTGTAATCATCACAGATGCCATCACCCAAGACCACACCTCACCCTAAAGCTCCATTTTGAAGCACTTCTTGGAGCGGGTATCTCTTCTCACCATTGCCAAGCTGGGTTTGGGGAAGCTGCCCTAAACCCACCTCAAGCCCAAGAAGGCTTTGGACCCCAAATCCATACAAACACCTGCTGGAACTCACAGTTGGAAGACATCTCTTGGAGAGCAAGTTCCACTTGCCCAGTCCCCAGGCCACTCTTTTTTACAGTGATCTCCAAAGCCTCTGGACCCAGCTGCCAGCTCTACTCCCAGCTCTGAGGTCCCCCCTGGCAGGAGCACACATGCCACCGCTTTGCACCAAATCCCCAAAGTGCCCAGCACATTCTAGGCTCCCACTGTCTCCAAGGGACCCTAGGGCCCTGCTAGAGAAGGGTAATGGCAGGAAGCCATAATATATTAAAACAGCAGATTAAAACAAACAAGAGCATTTTGGATCGTATTACACATCACTTTCCTCACGTCTGACAACAGAAAAAAATCAAAGGCGGTAAAAGACAATCGTAGACCATAATGGTCTAACAACTTGGTGATAAAAGTGCTTGTGGGAGCAGCGTGGGCGTCGGTGGCTCCGGGTGCAGGAATCAAAGCCCTCTTCCAGATCCACAGTGGTGTGCTCAGAGGCATTACTGCTTAAGTGCTCGTTTAAGACTTCCTCCAAAATGCAGTGCACTCGCTGGAGAATCATAATTAGGCCCCAACTGTGGGCCATATTCACACATTGTGCATCATTCTTAAAGATGACAGAAAAAAAAAATTACCCAGGGCTATGTGGCATGGATATTAGATCTTTTACCATTGTCCTCCATGAAAAAAACAAAAAACAAAAAAAACACTTAATAATCTCCCGTCTAGACTCATAGCATTTGAATACTAAGCAATATGACTTAGTTTTATTTTGAAATGGAAAAAGGAAAGCTAAGAAAACGGAAGGCTGTGAGCAGCGGAACTCTGGGGTTTATTTTACAGCCTATAGGTGTGGTCAAATCCATAGGAAAGTGGAGTGTAAGGGATCTTCCACTCATGAGTCACTGTCCAAACCGAAGTCAGACCAAAATTCCAGAAAAACCTCAGATGGCGTTAGACAAGAGTATACCAGCCCAGATCTGATTAAACATTTGGAACATGTCAACTTTTGAAAAACACTTTCATTTATTTATTTATTCATTTATTTATTTCTTTATTTTATTTATTTTTTCAGACAGGGTCTCACTCTGTTGCCCACCTGGAGTGCAGTGGCAGAATCTCAGCTCACTGCAACCTCTGCCTACTGGGCTCAAGCGATCCTCCCACCTCAGCCTCCCAAGAAGCTGGGACTACAGGCGAAGAACATCGCAACCGGCTGTTTTTTGTATTTTTTGTAGAGATGGAGTCTCGCCATGTTGTCCAGACTGGTCTTGAACTCCTGAACTCAAGCAATCTACCTGTTACTTAGCATCCCAAAGTGGCCTGGCTGTCATTTAATAGTCTGTATGCTGAAAGAAAATGCCACAAAAATGTGCAGCCACTTTTCCATGTCTCCTCCCCATTTCCTTCCCTACCTTCTCAACCCAAGCCCATTTCCAACCCTACGTTTTGGCTCATAGGAAAGAGCTTTCTAGGAATTAAGTAACAAATCTGCCCATGACTCACGTTCTCCATGTCAGCCTCAGTGCCCGGCTCACTGCTGCCTTTGTCCCCAGGCCAAAGGTTTCTTGGGAGAACTTCGTTCAGGTCAGGTCAGCTACCCAGGAAAACAGACCTAAACCTGAATTCAGGTCATCCTCCTCGTTTTTAATTTGAACTTACCTACTGCTGTCATTTTTTCATCTGCTTTTTAAAACTGATCCCCACCCCCAAAAGTGGCATCCATTTATTGTTTTTTGTTGTTGTTTGGGGTTTTTTGTTTGTTTGTTTTCATTTTTGTTTTGAGAGGGAGTCTTACTGTGTCACCCAGGCTAGAGTTCAGTGGCACCATCTCGGCTCACTGCAACCTCCACCTTCCAGATTCAAGCAATCTTCCAACCTCAGCCTCCCGAGTAGCTGGGACTATAGGCGTGCACCCTCATGCCCGGCTGATTCTTTGTGTTTTTGGTTGAGACAGGCTTTTGCCATGTTGCCCAGGCTGGTCTCTAACTTCTGAGCTCAAGCTATCCACCCCTGTCAGCCTCCCAAAATGCTAGGATTACAGGAGTGAGCCACCACGCCCAACCTATTTATCTTATTCTATTCACATAGATTTATACATGTGATTTATAGATTTATCTAAAAATAAATTGCATATTTTCATGACAACTCTGGGTGGCCAGTGATGGATTGTTATTTTTCACTTTATAGATTCTAAAATCTGCATTTTAATAAGAGCCTCATAGCTAATAAAGGAGGTATTACAAGTCAGTGAGAAATGAATGAATTATTTGAATGTGATTTGGAAAAAATTCACTCTCTTGGTGGTGTAAACATCTAAATCCTTATCTCACATCATAAAATAAAATAAACTGACATATTAAAATTATAATACCTGAAAAACTTGGAAAACCATAAGAAAATGTAGATAAGTATTTATTTAATCCTTGCATTGAAAGAAGTTTCTAAGTATAAAATAATGAAGGAAATCACAAGGGAAAGGACTAACATATTAGATCACACAAAGATTGTAAACATCTAGATGTCAAAAAATTACAAGCAAACAATAAACTGAAAAAATATTAGCCACATACATGACAGGCAAAAGGTTAATATTCTTACTATACAAGGCATTCATACAAATCAATAAGAAAAAAGAAATAGAAAATGGGTAAAGGTTATGAATAGATAATTTACAAAAGAGAAAATACAAATGTTTGGCTAATACACATAAGAAAGCTACTCAGCTACAAAAGGAATCCAAAAAATTAAAAATAAAGTCACCAGAGATAGCTTCCTGTTTATCAAACCAGCAAAAAATAGAAATATTAATAGTACTGGATACTATAAAAGTGAACTGAGAGAGGAATATAAATTATATGACCTTTCCGGAAGGCAGTTTGGGCAATGTGTATCAAGAACCTTGAAACCACTCATGTTTTCTGACCTGGTAATTCCTTTTTAAGGACTTCATCCTATAAAGTAATTAAAAATGTGGGCTAAGCTGTTTGTAAAAGATAATCCTTAGAGAGTGAGTTATACCAGCAAAATATGGGAACAATGTCCCTCACCCAGAGAGTGGCTTAAATTTTAGTGCATCTATATAATGAAATATTGTAAAGACATTAAAATTGAAAAATAATTTTAGTGACAAGGAAAAATACCTATGCAATAGTGATAAATGACAAATGCTGCCTGCAAAATAGTCTACAGCATCTTAAATATATAAATATATGCCTAGGAGAAAGAACTGTAAAGTGGTATCATCAGTGTTTACCAGTGAGCTGAAGAATAGTACATACTTTAAAAAACACTTTTCTAATTTTCTACAATAACAGGTATTTATTTTATAATCAGAAAAATAGAACTGAGAAAACTCTTTTTATTTTTTCATACTGATACTCCATTTATGTTTTTAAATTTTTTATTTTAAAATATTTAACTAACAGAGACTGAATATACTCAAGGTCTACAATGTGATGATTTGATATATGTAGACATTGTATAATGATAACCACGATCAAATTAATTAATACATCCATTACCATCTGTCCATTAGATTTTCAGCACTTGGTCATCTTATAACTAACATTGAACCCTTTGAGCACGTCTCCCTGTTTTCTCCAGCCCCCACCCCCTGGCAACTGCTGTTCTACTCTCCACCTCAATGAGTTCAACTTTTTTAGATTCCACATATGCGTGAGATCATACAGTATTTGTCCTTCCATATCTAGCTTATTTCACTTAGCACAATGACCTCCGGGTTCATCCATGTTGCTGCAAACAAGCTTCTATGTTTTCAATGAAAAAGTTTCAAAAAGGTAAACACCATAATGCAATTCCACATCTGGTCACATGAATCCATAACCACAGTTTTATCTGCCCTGTGAATTTTTCTTTTTACAGTAAGGACAAAACATACAACTACAAAGCCCACAATACTTTAAAATCACTTCTGAGTTGGTCAGTATACATAATTGCAAGTATACAGTTATTAGTAATCAGTCCTAATTAGTGTTTCTGTGTTTTGCTTTGTCTATTTAATATGATTTAATATTTAAGTGCTCATGTGTCAGCATAGTCAACATATGTAACTTGTTGACAGTGTGGCAATCACTGCTATGTGTTCATCAGACAATTCCCCTTTCACCCCGGGCTTATAGCAAGACTACATTTCCCAGCCTCCCTTGTAGTTAGATGTGGCCATGTGACTGCGTTCTGACTCCTAGAATGTGGGTAGAAGTAATGTTGCCTCCAGACCTCTGAATCTGGCTCGTGAAACCTCCCTTGCAATCCTCTGTTCTCACTCTCTTCCCTCATGGATCTATCAGACCCAGGGAGGAAATGGTGGAGCCAATAAACACAGAAGCCTAGGTCCCTGAGTGATGGCATACGGAAACCTGTCTCCCCAACTGACCTACATTGAGTTGCAATGTGTGTAAGAAATAAACTTTATTGTGCTAAGCCACCAAGGTTTGTGGTTATTTGTTAAAGTAGTTATCCTACCCTAAGCCCAAAGATTTAGCTACTATCCCATTGTCTTGACAGATCATAGTGCTTAACCACTTTCCTGTCTGGGATATTTTCATTGTTTCTAAATAATGCCATGATCATCTTTGAACAAGATTATGGTTTTTCTTTTGCTTCTTTTGGCTTATGCTTATGGAGTAGATCTCCCAAAGTGGTATTACCAATGCATCATCAGGGGATAATGTTGATAGTTCTTGATACACTATTACCAGACTGCTTTCCAGAAATATCGGAGCAAAGGAGTGCAGCATCCCTAATGCATGGTGTTTCCCACGTCCCCAGCAACACTGGGTTTATTATTTTTAGCTTTGTTTGCCAATGCTGTGGCTCCAACTAGAAAGTGCTTCCAAGGTCATTTACACTTGCAATACTTAGTGAGAGTTCCTGTACTACAGAGTATGTGACAAATAATATTTTGATCCACGAACCTCACCCTACTTACTAACCCCTTGGCCTGCCCTCTGGTATAGGCAGCCGCAGGGACATTCACATGCCTTGCATTAGTGAAGTGATGACATTGCAAAATACAGTAAAAGGAATCAAGCTTTCACTTCTGTGTTACAAAATAGGCTTCTGGAAACTCACAGCAGAGACCATAGTTTTAAGGGGGGAAGAAGCTTTCTGTATTTCAAAGCCCGGCTTTTGAGCATAAGAAGCCTCAGGCCTGAAAGACTCAGGGCATACGGTTTAGGCATAAATAATAGATTTAGGAGAATATGTGATCAGTCAGAGCCAGACAGCCCTGCCCCAGGCTGGATAAAGTTTCTCTGGATTGAGGCAGTGGAGAGGTAGAGAAGGAAGAAGAGGCTTAAATGGTGGGTCCTGAAGGCAGAAGGCTGCGACAGGAGCAGCAGGGGGCAGATGGACGCTGCATCCCCTACACTGCTTGTGTCCACGTGGTGCAGTGGAGAAGGCTGTGTGCAAATGCCAGTCATTCAGGAGGGGTTCCTGCACAGGCGCTGTCCTGAGCACTGTGGATGCAGCAGTGAATGAAGAAGACCAAGTCCTTGCTTCTGTGGAATAACGTTCTAATGGGGGAAAATAGATGTCAACAAATAAACAAATATGCAGGCATGCCTCACTACAGCGCGCCTCACAGACATTGTGCGTTTTACAAATTGAAGGTTTGCGGCAACCATGCATGGAGCAAGTCTGTCCTAGCCATCTTTCCGACAGCATATGCTCACTTCATGATTCTGCGTCACCTTTTGGTAATTTTCGTAATACTTTGAGCTTTTTCATCATTATTGTATCTGTTACAGTGGTCTGTGATCAGTGATCTTTGCTGTTACTATTATCATTGTTTTTGGGTACCACTAACCGCACCCATACAAGACAGCGAACTTAACAGATGAATATTATGTGTTCTGACTGTTCGGCCTCCCTATACCCTGAGACACACAAATATTGAAATTAGGCCAATGAATAGCCCTACAAGGGGCTCTAAGTGTTCAAGTGAAAGTAAAAGTCACACAACTCTCACTTTAAATCAAAAGCTGTAATTAAACAGTGAGGAAGACACACTGAAAGCCAAGACAGGCTAAAAGCTAAGCCTCTTGTGCCAGTTAGTCAAGTTGAAAATGCAAAGAAAAAGTTCTTGAAGGAAATTAAATGTGCCACTCCAGTGAACATACAGATGATAAGAAAGCGAAACAGCCTTATTACCGATGTAGAGAAAGTTGTAGTTGGTCTGGATAGAAGATCCAACCAGCCACAGCATTCCCTTAAGCCAAAGCCTAATCCAGAACAAGGCCGTAAATCTCTCCAATTCTATAAACACTGAGAGGAGAGGACAAGAGAGGAAAGGAGAGGAGAGGACAAGAGAGGGGAGGAGAGGAGAGGAGAGGAGAGGAGAGGAGAGGAGAGGAGGGGACAGGATGGGAGGGGAGGGGAGGGGAGAAGGAGGCGGAGGTGGAGGAGGAGGAGGTGAGGAAGAAGAAGGAGGAGGAGAGGAAAAAGAAGGAGGAGGGAAGAAGAGGAAGAGAAGAGGAGTTGGAAGCTAGCAAAGTTTGGTTCAGGAGGTATAACGAAAGGAGCCATTTCCACAAACATCAGCACTTCAGGTAAAGCAGCAAGTGCTGATGGAGAAGCTGCGGCAAGTTATCCAGAAGATCTAACTAAGATTATTGATGAAGGCAGCCACACTAACAGATTTTCAATGTAGATGAAACACCCTTATATTGGAAGAAGATGCCATCTAAGACTTTTATAGCTGGAGAGGATAAGTCAATGCCTGGCTTCAAAGCTTCAAAGGACAGACTGACTCTCTTGTTAGGTTCTAATGCAGCTGGTGACTTTAAGTTGAAGCCAATGCTCATTTTCCGTTCTGAAAATCCTAGGCCCCTTAAGAATGATGCTAAATCTACTCTCCCTGTGCTCTGGAAATGAAACAACAAAGCCTGGCTAATAGCACATCTGCTTATAGCACAGTTTACTGAACATTTTAATTCCACTGTTGAAACCTACTGCTCAGAAACAAACAAACAAACAAAAAAACCCTTTCAAAATATTTGACCATGCACCTAAGCACCCAAGAGCTCTGATGGAAATATATAAGAAGATTAATGTCGTTTTCAGCCTACTAACACAAAATCTATTCTGGGGCTTATGGATCAAGGAGTAATTTTGACCTTCAAGTTGTATTATTTAAGAAATACATTTTATAAGGCTATATAGCTGCCATAGTGATTCCTCTGATAGATCTGGGCAATGTATGTGACTCACTTTATCATAATATTTGCTTTATTGTGGAGGTCTAGAACTAAACCCACAATATCTCTGAGACATGCATATATATACACAGACATATACATATATATGTGTGTGTGTGTGTGTGCACCTGTGTGTGATACGTGTGTGTGTATGCATATATGTATATGATGTCAGTGGTGATAAGTTCTCCGAAGACAAATAAAACAGGACAGAGAGTGATGGATGGTGGAATTATTTTAAATAAGGTGATCAGAGAAGGCCTTTCTGAAAACATGATATATGAGCAGTTGAAGTGGGAAGGGAGCCCTGAGCATATTTGGGCATAGAGCATTCCAAGAACAGCGAGTGCAAAGGCCGAGACAGAAGTGTGTGTTGGCATTGCCAGACCTCTAAGAAGACCAGTGTGGCTGGAGCACGTGAGAGAGAGGGAAAGAGATGGTGGGAGGGAGAAAGTCAGAGAGAAAGCAGGTAGGCCAAGGCACGGTGGATGGGCTGTCTGGACAGACAGGACAGAGGCAGCCTTGGTTAACACAGGGCTTGTCTCCTTTCCTAGCATGGTGTCTAAGTCCTAGAGGGCACTGAGGGGTCAAGGCAATGAGAGTAGTGTGCCTTGGGGGACAGTGTTTGGATGTGGTTGATGGTCCTCGAGGCCTCCACTGCATCCTCCTGGTTCCACACCACTAGCCTCTATGTCCACTTTCCACTGCCTACCTCTGGGCCTTTTCTAAGCCACAGCAGACTGTTGGCTTTCCCCATACCTTTGCTTGCAGGGTGCTGAGCACAGTTCAGAGGAGAAGCTGGTCTTGGGACCCTGGCGTCCCTTTTTCCCCTGCTTTGCATCTGTGATGGTTAATATTGTCAACTTGATTGGATTGAGAGATGCAAACTACTGTTCCTGGGTATGTCTGTGAGGGCGTTGCCAAAGGAGATTAACATTTGAGTCAGTGGGCTGGGAAAGGCAGACCCCCCCTCAGTCTGAGTGCACACCATCTAATCAGCTGCCAGCAAGGCTAGATTAAAGCAGGCAGAAGAAGATGGAAGAGTAGATTTTCTGAGTCTTCCAGCCTTCATGTTTCTCCTGTACTGGATGCTTTTTGTCCCCAGACATCAGACTCCAAGTTCTTCAGCTTTTGGATTATTGGACTTACACCAGTAGTTTGCCAGGGGCTCTCGGGTCTTTGGTCACAGACTGAAGGCTGCACCATTAGCTTCCCTACTTTTGAGGTTTGGGGACTCAGATTGATCCATCACTGGCTTCCTGGCTCCTCAACTTGCAGATGGTCTATCGTGGGACTTTACCATGTGATCCTGTGAGTCAATTCTCCTTAATAAACTCCCTTTCATATATGCATATATCCTATTAGTTCTGTCCCTCAAGAGAACCCTAATAATTAGGGTTCTAGCATCCTTGCTCCTACTTAAGGCCACACTACTGCTGGCTTGGCCCACCATCATGTATGTGCACCAGTTTCAAAATCCCCACACCTTCCTTGAGCTCAGGAATTCAGGCTGAAGTCAACTGATTCTGTGAAGAAGTAACATGTACATTGAAATATGAATTAAGGCCAGGCATGGTGGCTAATGCTTGTAATCCCAACACTTTGGGAGGTCGAGGCAGGAGGATCACTCGAGGCCAGGAGTATGAGACTAGCCTGGGCAATATAGCAAGACCCCTTCTCCACCAAAAAAAGAAAAAATAGCCAGGTGTGGCAGCACATACCTGTGGTCTCCACGTCTGGGGAGGCTGAGGTGGGAGAATCACTCGAGTCCAGAAGGTTGAAGCTGCGGTGAGCCGTGACTGCACCACTGCACTCCAGCCTGGGCAACAGAGTAAGATCCTGACTCTAAAAAAAAAAAAAGAAAAAAAGAAAAGAAAAGAAAGGAAAGAAGGAAGGAAGAAGGAAAGAAGGGAGGGAGGAAGGGAGGGAAGGACAGAGGGAGGGAGGGAGGGAAAAGAAAAGAGAAAAGACAAGACAAGAAAAGAAAAGAAGACAAGACAAGACAAAAAAAGAAGAAAAGACAAGAAAAGAACCCTCCACGGAAGTTAGTTGCTAAAGCAAGATAAATCTCTCACTAGGTGAACATGGAAGAGGAGTTTTTCCTTTTAGCAGCTTCTTACCTATTTCTCCACTCTGGTAGGTGAGCACACACACACACACACACACACACGCATGCACACCAACACACCCCTGCATGCTCCAGAAGAGCAAGGATCTGGAATCCGGCCCCAGCTATCGACAGATGGCCACTCCTATTCTAAATGAACTGCCGGCCTGGGCCTCCCTTTCATCTCAAAGGCCATTTGCCATAACCTCATTCATCTGCACAGACTGTCAGATTCTCTCTCCTGGACTTCTCCTGTGACCTTCATTTTATTCTCTGCTCGTGCCTGAGTGTGGCAGCTGAACCGGATTGATTAAAGTTTTAGCCCTGTCTTGTTTTAATTCAAGAGCTAAACTGAGCATTTAAATGAACTCACAGCACGACTGACTGGCAGGCTTCTGGAATCTGGTTAACATTCCTCCTGAGGCACTCTCACCCGCCTTATCTCTGCTCTGTGTCCGGGTTGGGGTTTCTGGGTGAAGTTCACTGTTGGTTAAAAATGACATCATCGGAGCAAGTGAGAGTAGATGAATGTTCACTTCCATCCATCCATCCATCACTGGAGCCCCTGGGTTCATTAAGCGTGCACCAGGCACGGTTTCCCTCTACATCCCATAATTCATCCATGGGTCTAATGAACCAAGATGGAGTTTGTCAGTTTCCCCCAGTTTGACTAGATGGGACAATTCTTTGGTGCTCAGAATCTTTTATCCTATATAGAGAGACTGTGAGCAGAAGAGAGAGCAAGTCCCAGCACAGTGACATAAATGTCAGTGCACATCCGTTCATCATTTCCACCTATAAACACAGTGCCCTCAAGAGCTGGGACACTGAATCCACACCCTTTCTTCTGCAGGTCTTGGTCTGATTGCTGTTTTTCAGGGAGTCACCTGTCCTCTCCATTTGGTTATCCCGCTGTAATTGCCTGTGGTTCCTAAGACAGAGGAAGAAACATGGGCGGACAGGTCTAGGCATCCATCACCCAGGGCTGGATCAGGCATATAACTTCATACCATGCCCCCTCTAAACTCTCAAGGGCCTTCTCATCCATCCATCCATCCACCCACCCATCTGTCCATCCATCTGTCCATCTGTCTATCCATCCATCCATCCAACCATCCATCCATTTATTCATATATTTAATTCAGCAAGTATTTATCACTTGCCTTCTATGTAACAGGTACTGTGCCAGATGCTGGGATTTTTAAAAACATACCCAAGAGGTTGTTCTTATTCAGGGATGATGTGTTAGGCTGTTCTTGTATTACTATAAAAAAAAAAACAAAAACAAAAAAAAAAAAAAAAAAAAAAAAAAAAAAAAAAAAAACCTGTGCTGGGTAAATTATAAAGAAAAGAGGTTTCATTGGCTCACGGTTCTGCAGACAGTACAGGAATCATGGTGCATAGTGCCTGCTTCTGGTGATGGCCTCAGGAAGCTTCCACTCATGGCAGAAGGTGAAGAGAGAGCAGGCATCTCACAGGGTGAGAGCAGCAGCAAGAGAGCGAGTGGGGAGGTACCACACTGTTTTAAACAACCAGATCTCACATAAATTCAGAGCTAGAACTCACTAGTCACCAAGGGGATGGCACTAAGCCGTTCATGAAGGGTCCACCCTCATAAGCAAACACCTCCACCAGGCTCCACCTCCAACCCTGGGGATTACATTTCAACAGGAGATTTGAAGGGGACAAATATTCAAACAACATCATATGGTAAGGCCAGCAGATTAGGAGACGACCACCACTGAAAAGATCGTTTGTTACTTACGGTTCCCAAGAGAAGGGGACATACCATGTCACACCATTCAGAGCCACACAGGGAGGCACCAGGTCGGGTCAGGAGGCAGGAGTGAGGGAAAAGCATGGGCCAAGTTTTTTCTTCATTTGTGGTTCTCAAGGGAAGGAATGGGCGAGGCAGGGCAAGCCACTGAGCAAGTTTAAGATTGGATAGGCTGAATAACTTCAGCAGGCTCTGCGCTATCAGGGTGGTCCCTAGTTGAATGGTATCTGGCCCTGGGGTGACTTTGGGCAGGAGGATGATGTCTAGGGTTTCCTAAGCCTGATGAAAGGAGCCAGTTTGGGGAACGGACTTGGGATGAGTTGGTTTGCATATCGAAGGCATCTTGCAGGCAAGTTGTTTGCTGCCTGTAGGAAATAGCCAACCCTGGGAAGGGCAGTCCCTTCCTGGGTCCCCAGGGCCCCAAGATGTCAAAGCATCCTAAAATACAGAAAACGAAATCGTGATTAATACATAGGGTTTCAGAAAATGATGTCTGCCCTTAAAGACTTCACAGACTTCAAAACAAACAAGAGTTTCATAGCATATGGCACCAGCTGTGCCAGTCACCTTTGGGGATGTCTGCCCAGCCACGACCTTCCCATTTGTGGGAAATACACCCCAGATGTAACGGTGGGTTCCTCAGTGGCGGAGCAGCTGTATAGTTCATCGCCCATCCCCCTGGCATGGCTAATTGGATCAAGATGGACACGTGGTCCCAAGCTCAGCCAATCAGATTTCCTCTCCCACTAATTTGCGATTGTGATTCAGAGACCAGTAGACCTGTGCTGAGGGGTACAGGAGCCAGGAGACAGTCTGACTTCACCGTATATATATCTGCAATCTCCAACCCTGGGTGCACATTGGAGTCATTGGGAGTTTTAAGAAATACTGAGGCCAGAGTCCCAATTCAGACCACTTCAATTGGAATCTCTGAGGGTGGGGCCCAGGTGTCCGAGTTCCTGTCCCAAGCCTGACTCACTCCTCACACCCACAAAAGTGAACTGTTCTGGGCCTGCGTCCCCCCTCCAGGAGTACCACCTCTGGCCCTGGCCCTTCTTGTTATGTAGAAGTGACAAAGGACTATGCTGTGATGGGTGTGGATGTCCCACACACACACAGACTCATGGAGCACAGCAACAGGGAGGGGGCATGCTTTAAATTGACACATGACATTCGTGCATGTGCACGGGGTGCATATGATCTTTGTTGCGTGTGTAGAATGTGTAATGATCAAGTCGGGATATTTAGACTCTCCATCACCTTGAGCACTTATGGTTTCTATGTGTTGGGAACATTTCAAGTCTGCTCCTTTAGCTATTTTGAAATATACAATTCATTGTTATTAATTACAGTCACCCTACTCTGCTATTGCACATTAGAAATTATTCCTTCTAGCTGGCGCGGTGGCTCATGCCTATAATCCCAGCACTTTGGGAGGCCGAGGTGGGCGGATCATGAGGTTAGGAGATCGAGACCATCCTGGCTAACACAGTGAAACTCCGTCTCTACTAAAAATACAAAAAAATTAGCTGGGCGTGGTGGCAGGTGCCTGTAGTCCCAGCTACTCGGGAGGCTAAGGCAGAAGAATGGCATGAACCTGGGAGGCGGAGTTTGCAGTGAGCCGAGATCGCACCACTGCACTCCAGCCTGGGTGACAGAGCCAGACTCCGAGACTCCGTCTCAAAAAAAAGAAATTATTCCTTCTATCTAACAGCACATTTGTACCCATTAACCACTCTCTCTTCATCCCCTCCTCCCCTACATACACACAAACCCTTCCCAGCCTCTGATAACTATAATTCTACTTCCTACCAGAGGGAGCATTTTCCTTTTTTAAGACAGGGGCCTCACTCTGTCCCCCAGGCTGGAGTGCAGTGGCACCTCCTTAGCTCATTGCAGCCTCCAACTCCTGGGGCTAAGCAGTGCTCCTGCCTCAGCCTCCTGAGTAGCTAGGACTACAGGTTCAAGCCACCATATCTGGCTGACTTTTTTAAAAAATCTTTTTTTAGAGACATGGTCTCAATATGTTGCCCAGGCTGGTCTCAAACTCCTGGCCTGAAAGCCATCCTCCAGCCTCAGCCTCTGTATTTTTCCATTTTCGCACTGCTGATAAAGACATACCCAAGACTGGGAAGAAAAAGAGGTTTAATTGGACTTACAGTTCCACATGGCTGGGGAGGCCTCAGAATCATGGCGGGAGGCAAAAGGCACTTCTTACATGGTGGTGGCAAGAGAAAATGAGGAGGAAGCAAAAGTGAAAACCCCTGATAAACCCATTAGATCTCATGAGACGTATTCACTATCATGAGAATAGTACGGGAAAGACCAGCCCCATGATTCAATTACCTCCCCCTAGGTCCCTCCCACAACATGTGGGAATTCTGGGAGATACAATTCAAGCTGAGATTTGGTGGGGACACAGTCAAACCATATCAGCTTCCCGAAGTGCTAGGATTACAAGTGTGAGCCACTGTGCCTGGCCCAAGGGGAGCACGTTAAATCAATGGTCTCCTGCTCAACTTCTGATAAAATGAACGTCCATCAAAAGAACATGTGCAGTGCACCCAAGAAGTCAATACATCAATTAACCAAGAAATATTTTTAGAAAGAGAGATGAATAAGAGGAAAGACAAGGTTCCTGGCCTGGAGGAGCCTTTAGTCCAGCTGGAGAGGGCTTTTGATGTTGATGTAGATATGTACACATAAAAATATGTATGCACATGTACAGTCTACTTGATTAACATTACTAAACCAAGCATGATACACACTGGAAGAATGGCACTCCATGTGATCAGAAAGGAAAGATTCCCTGGGCTGGGCTAGTCCAGGAAGACTTCCTAAAGGTCGGGGTATTTAACCTGGTCTTGTGAGGAAAGGTGAGTTTCAAACAGGCCCATGGCCCAGGGTAACCAGCTCTGTAGGTGCTTGAAGGACAGCCATCCTCCACACTTGGTGTGCAGAACAGGTCCCATCAGAAGGCGTTCTCAGCCTCAGCCTCGGGCTCCGTCCCCCTCTTTCCCCACAGAGTGAATTTTTTAATCACTCAAGCAAACCAGAGAAACTCAGAGGCTTGAACTAATAATGGTGGCCCAAGTCCAAGCATAGATAAGGACCCAGGTGAGGTCCTCTAACCGCTCAGAAAGCAGGTGTCAGGAGACAAAGGGGGTGATTGGGTAACTAGGGGAGACAGGAGACCTGGACTCACCCCTGCACAGATACCACCTTTCAAAGACATGGTGCCTCAAACACTGGAACCCAGATCCACTCACAGTCAAACTGTAACCCTTCTTTAAAATAGCTGCTCTAGGGAGACGGAGATGGAGAAGACCTCTGCCCTCACTGCTCACTCTTCCCACGAGCTAAGCCTAAATACTGAGGGCCTAGACTAAGAATAAAACCCAGTCATGGCTGGGCGTGGTGGCTCACACCTGTAATCATAGCACTTTGGGAGATCAAGATGGGGGGACCGCTTGAGGCCAGGAGTTCGAGACCAGCCTGGGCAACATAGTGAAACCCTGTCTCTACAAAAAATAAAAATGCAAAACTTAGCTGAGTGTGGTAGTGCACAACTGGAGTCTCACCTATTTGGGAGGCTGAGGTGGGAGGATTGCTTCAGCCCAGGAGGTCAAGGTTGTAGCGAGTCATGGTAGCTCTGCTGCACTTCAGCCTGGGCAACAGAGCTAGACCCTGTCTCTAAAAGTAAAATAAAATAAAACCCAGTCATTCCAAAGAAAATGTCTTTCCTCTATTTCCATAATCACAAATCCCTCCCCAGCTCTAGAGGAGCTAGCCACCCCGTGAGCTGTCTTCCCTCTGAGTCTCTTCTTCTTTCCCTCAGCTGATCCCTTCACCCTCCCATTCTCCCTCTCTTTATCTCCCTATCTGGACCCCTTATTCCTCAGCTGCAATTATTCGGCCTGCAATTCCTGAGCATCCATCTGGCACTGCTAAGCCTTCAAACCCACAGCCTCAGGTCTGAGTTTCAGGTCAGGAGTGTCCCTTTCTCCTGCCCTTTGTGGAAGCTCAAATTTCTACACATCCACTTCTTTTAAAATATCCCTTCCCTTCACTTGGTTTGGGCATGAGAATAACATCCGGGGACAGATGTGTCTGAATCATCCCGACTTGGGGCTTGGTTTCCCCCTCTGTGCAATGGGGAGTGAACCCTGCTGTCTCTCTAAGGATGACCCCCCGCACACACCCCATCCTGAGTATGAGCTTTTTCCAGGACGGCAGGTTATTTGCAGCTGTGGGCTTTCCGCCACACTTGCTTTGCTGCTTCCTGCTGCTGTGAAAGATTTTCCATGCCACTAGGGAGTGTAAATCCTCCTCACATGCATTTTTGAAACACCTTGGAAACCTCTGCATAAATCAGTAGAAGTTCATTTATGGTTTTAGAATATTCTGGCTAATTTATCTGGTTCGAATTTATTTATCTGCAATTTCCAAGCTGGGCCCTGTAGGGCTCCACTGCATTTCCCTTGCATGTTTGTTTTGACTGGCCCTGAAATTTGAGCCGGCCACAAGGAGACCTTTATCATTATCCAAAGAGATCTTCCCCTTCCCAATGACATACTCTTCGGAGGTTTGATTCCAAGCCAGTGCTTCTTCCCCTTTTAAAAAACCAACAGCAAAGATAGAGCTCTTCCTTCCAAACCACCAGGTCGCAGCTCTCGGATTTCAGCCTTGCCCTGATGTCCTTCCTGTGAGTGTGAACTCTGCTGTGCCAGCATGTAGGCCCTCCCAATGCCCTCCTGCTGGCCTTACGTGGGCCAGGGCAGGCAGTGTACAGTAACAGGGACCCACTGGTGGTGATGCAATGAAAAAAATAGCCCAGCAGTCTGCATGGTTGAGCTTTCTGGGGCTGTCTTACCAGAAATCACTGTAGAAACATATGGCTGACACTGTTAGCAATTATCCCAGTGTCCAGCCCCAGAGGCGTTTTTATATCCTTCCTGGCTATGGTTTGAGATTTCGTTGTTTGATGCTCCCTGAATTTTGCTCTCTCAGTATTTCCTCTACCCTGAATCATGTGGCCAAGCCTTAAACTCCTGTCCTTTGAGGACAATCAGAATGACACCTTTAGTGTTTGTGCCTTATTTTATGGCCTGATGATCTTGTGCCCTTTAGAGTTCAAAGGTCACATCAGGCAGCAGGCCGGGAGGTTTTTGATGTGACCTTTGAACCCCAGAAAACAAAAGAATGGAGGCCCACAGAGACCATCCATCTAAAAAACGATCCTATAAAGAATGCAACTCAATCAGCCCGGAGCATGCAAATCACATAACATTTTTATGGAGCACCCTGCTAAATCCAAACTTACAGCCAGAAGAAGGGACACAAACCCCATGATCCCAACACATAAATCAAAGCTTGAGAAAAGCAAAGACATGAGTTTACAGTTGGCTAAGAATGGAAGGATTTGCAAGATGTGATTTATACATTTGTTTCCTCCCTTCCTCTCACCCCCTGTCTATACACAAACACACACTCACACACACGCTGGTCAATACCACAGCACCATAGGGAAATCCAGCATTTTCCATTCCAAAGGTTTGCTCTGTGCTAAGTCTACCATGGACAGACATGGGAGAGCAACTGAAGGCCAAGAGCTTCCTCCTTGGCCACCAGAACCATCCTCAGAGACAGGCAGAAAGTCCATAGGGCAGAAAGCCAGACATGGAAGATGAGGACTTGTCATATAGGTAAAAGACTGGCCCCACAAAGAAGGCTACACCCTGTAGAACAGATGTCACCTTCCCTATGACACAGATTGTCCCTCAACGGTCCTTAATACCTGGCACACATGTCCCCAGGGCAAAGGCCAGACTAATTTCTGAATTGATGAGAAATAGAGAGCGGAGCAGGAGGTGCTCCTGTTTTTCATGACTATTGAAGTTTTGGTTTTTTAAAGAAGAAATATTGAAGTGTGTTTCTAGATGTCTAGATAACACACTGATGTTGGGTAATAGATCTTGAGAAGTCTGCCAAGTACGTCTGTAGTAGAAAATGTTCCGTGGAGAGTGAAAAAGAGATCCCCTTTTAAATGAAGATTGAGTTTACAATTAAAATGTGTCTTCTTTTCCTTTTTTTTTTTTTGTTTGTTGTTGTTGTTTGTTTGTTTGTTTTTGAGATGGAGTCTCGCTCTGTTGCCCAGGCTGGAAGTGCAGTGGCGCAATCTCGGCTCACTGCAAGCTCCGCCTCCCGGGTTCACACCATTCTCCTGCCTCAGCCTCCTGAGTAGCTGGGACTACAGGCACCTGCCACCAAGTCCGGTGAATTTTTTGTATTTTTTAGTACAGACGGGGTTTCACCTTGTTAGCCAGGATGGTCTTGACCTCCAGACCTCGTGATCCACCCGCCTTGGCCTCCCAAAGTGCTGGGATTACAGGCGTGAGTCACTGGGCCCAGCCTTTTTGTTTGTTTTTTAGACAAGATCTCACGGTGCCACTTAGGCTGGAGTGTA